GATAGATAGATAGATAGATAGATAGATAGATAGATAGATAGATAGATTCCAAGTTAGGGTTATTATTACTGTGCTGAAACACCATGACCAAAAACAGATTTGAAAAGAAAGGATTTGTTTGACTCACTCTTCCACATCTTAGTGAATCATTGAAGGGGAAGCCAGGTTAGGAACTCAAACAGGGCAGGAACATGGAGGCAGGAGTCTATGCAGAAACCATGGGAGAGTGCTACTTACTGGCTTGCTCATCATGGCTTACTTAGCCTGCTTTCTCATAGAACCCAGGACCACCAGCCTGGGAAGGCACCACTCAAAAATAGGCCCTCCTTCATCAATCTCTAATTAAAATGCCCTGCAGCTGGATTGAGTTCTTCCTTCCCTCCTTCCTCCCTCCCTCCCTCCCTCCTTTCTTTCTCTCTCTCTTTCTTTCTTTCTTTCTTTCTTTCTTTCTTTCTTTCTTTCTTCCTTCCTTTCTTTCTTTCTTTCTTCTTTCTTTCAAAAAAGTGTTTTGCCTGCATGTCTGCCTGCAGACCAGAAGAGGGCACCAGTTCCCATTACAGATGGTTGTGAGCCACTATGTGGTTGCTGGGAATTGAACTCAAGCCAGTGCTCTTAACCCAGAGTTCTTAACTGCTGAGCCATCTCTCCAGCCCATCTGCTGCTGGATCTTATGGAGACATTTTCTCAGTTGAGTTTCCCTCCTTTCAGATAACTCTATAGCTTGTGTCAAGTTAGCATAAAACTAGCCAAGACAGATAGACCAGAGAGACAGAGACAGACAGACAGACAGACACACATACACACACACACACACACACACACACACACACACACACACACACAGAGAGAGAGAGAGAGAGAGAGAGAGAGAGAGAGAGAGAGAGAGAGATATCAGATAAAGAAAAATATCTAGGTGCCTGCCAACCATGTGTCTGAGGATCTGGCCCCATCAGTGTTTGTCACTGGACCTTGATTCTTTTCATCTGCAACTTGTTCCTGATGGTGATGGGGTCCACTGAGGCTTTGTAGAACATACTACATTCTACTGTTATGTTCCACAATGTTGATTTTTGTAGGTGTGTTACAAAACTCTATGGTTAACATATCAATTTTGTTTTTGGTATTTTATAAACTTAGTCTATGACTGATTTGCCAAAGTATTTTAGTTTTATAAGTCTATGAAATAAAAAAATTCAATTTTGTAATCCTTATGTTTTTGTGTTGTGTGACAGTGTCTAATGTATATCAGACTAGTCCCAAAATTTCTATTCTTCTGTCTCAGCCTCTACAGTGCCTGGATTGTGGGCTTGTGCTACCATGACAGAAGCTTTGTACATCTTGTTTTTGGATATTGGCTGGAACTTTTAAACTGGTACAAAGTAACAGTGGTGATAAGCAGTACTGGTTAAAACCTTCCTATGGATATTAGTGGAAATGCTTCTAAGTTTACTTCTAAATTGGATTTTGTTAGGAATTTATTGTAGATGTCCCTGTCATCCTGCATTTCACCCAGATAATGAGCTCCGTCTGGAGCCTCATAGACAACACCGGAAGCCTAGGCATACAAGAGATGTGCAGGTGATCCTGCCTCCATCTCCTGAGTGATAAGGTGACGGTCAACCGCTCACCACCACACCAAGACCCTACGCATTGTTCTTGTTTGCTTGTTTGTTTTTCAAGACAGGATTTTTCTTCTCTGTGTAGTCCTGGCTGTCCTAGAACTTGCTCTATGGCCTACATATTTTCTTTTATTTTTTCTTAAAAAATGTATTTTAAAACTTTTATGTTTTGCTGGGCTGTGGTGGTGCATGCCTTTGGAGGCAAAGGCAGGTCAGTCTCTGAGTTCGAGGCCAGCCTGGTCTACAGAGTGAGCTCCAGGACCGCCAGGCCTACACAAAGGAAAACTCTGTCTCAAAAATAAAACAAAACAAACAAAACTTCCATTTACTATGAATTTCCCATCAAGGTGTCTGACTTCGCTCCTGATGCAGTTGATACATGTGACATTATTGTTTTCCCTTCTAGAAATGTGACACCTCCAAGCACAGAGTGCTGGTTGTGTCTGTTTGTCCTCAGTCCCTGCCTTATTTTGCTGCTAAATTCAACCTCAGTGTCACCGATGCATCCAGAAGACTCTGTGGCTTCCTGAAAAGTCTTGGTGAGTCAGTCACTTTTTATTTTTTTATTTTTGAGACAGATTCTTTCCATGTAGCCCTGGCTGTCCTGGAACTCACTCTGTAGACCAGGCTGGCCTCAAACTCACAGGTATCTGCCTATCTCTGCCTCCCAAGTGCTGGGATTAAAGGTATGTGCCACCACTGCCTGGCCAGTTACTTTTTTTTTTTTTTAAATAATACTATTGATATATACTTTAAATTCATGAAGGGCCCTTTTTGTTTTCAAGTTTAATTTTCAAGGGCACAGGATAGAAAAACTTTGGAGAAACTCCTGGAATGTCAAAACCCCATTCCTTGTGTCGTGAGTCCAGCTTCCTGCCAGTGGTAGGTGGGTGTCACATGCCCTCTGCTGTGTGCAGACAGATGTTTTGTTACAGTGAGGTTGACTGGTCTATGGTAAGATGTGAACCCCTGCTGACAGTGTGGACAGTGATTACTAGGAGGCTCCTGTACTTGCCTCTAGCTCACAGAATGAGTATTTGATAATTATTTCTGCAACGACTAATGTCCATTTTCCTAACAACCTTTTTCTAGCTAGGTAAGCTATAGCCCTTACCTACATCTCTAGCCCCAGACATGTGTTCTTTATATGAGGAATGAAAGGTGGTGATTTGCTTCAGTAGTGAGCATATCTTTAATCCAGCACTCAGGAGGCGAGGCGGGCAGATCTCTGTGAGTTCAAGGGCAGCCTGGTCTACAGGGTGAGTACTAGACCATCCATAGATGTACTGTGAGACCCTGTCTGATTTAAAAAAAAAAAAAAGGAAAAAAAGAGCTAGGTGTGTCAGCCGACTCCGGTAACTCCAGCATCGGAAGAGCGGAGATGGGTGGATTTCAGGGGCTCCCTTGCTAACCAGTCTAGCCAAAATAGCAAACTTCAGGTTCTGTGAGAGAGCTTTCTCAAAAAGTAAGGTGGAGGGCCAGCAAAATGGCAAGTAAGGGTTCTGTCCAATACAGGAGAGTACTGGTGTAAATTCATTGTTCCTCAATACCATACACAAAATTGAGAATCAGGAAGACGTTGTAACATGTCTATAAGTAGCACATAAGAAGCTAAAGCAGGAGATCATCCATGAGTTCAGACGGGCCTGGTGACCATAGTGAGTCCCAGGCTGGCCAGGACCATATAGCAAGATTTTGTTTCAAACAAGTAAAATGCCCAGTCTGAACCAGGCCACTCTTGTAAGAAAAGTACCAAGACTAACTGTGGTGTGCCGTCAAATCTGTGATCTGTGCTTGTGTCTGAAACAGGAGAAGGCAAAGTTGAGGAAGAATTAGGGTGCTCAAAAGTTGGGGATGGTTGTGTCTACCTATAATGCTAGCATACAGAAGCCTGAGGTAGGAAGATTCCAACTTCATCGCCACCCTAGGCTACATAGAGAGACCTTGTCAAAATTAACACCCAAAAGCCAACTGTTATGGTCCATGCTTTTAATCATAGCACTTGAGAATCAGACAGATCATCACAAGTTCAAGACTAGCCTAGTCTACATAACTTAATGAGATCTGGACCAGCTAGGGCTGCATAGTAAGACCTGTTTTAATATAAAATGAAAGACAGAGAGTGCTTAGAAGTCAGATGTGATCTGGATCCACACTTGGTCTGAGAGAAATGTCCATGTCCCTCTTTCCTGCAGGGGTGCACTATGTATTTGACACCACAATTGCGGCAGATTTCAGCATCCTGGAGACTCAGAAGGAATTTGTACACCGGTACCACCGACACAGTGAGGAGCAGCGTGAACTGCCCATGTTGACCTCTGCCTGTCCTGGTGAGCACAAGCCTGCTGGTACCATTTCACCAGAACTGTAGCAATAAATGTGGTCCTGGCTTTGGCTAGAAGTGGGCAGGCCCATCGCACTCAGCAGGGCACCCTGTGACCAGGGACGGTGTAGAGGAGGAAGCAGAGGGATCTGACTGCATGTGTTCTTTTTCTCCATCTTTCTGTTTCTCTTTCTCTCTCAAGGTTGGGTCAGATATGCTGAGCGGGTATTGGGTCCCCCAGTCATCCCACATCTCTGCACTGCCAAGTCTCCCCAGCAGGTCATGGGCTCCTTGGTGAAGGATTACTTTGCTAGAAAGCAGGTAAGCCAGCCTCTCCAGAGAACAGCAGCAGAGAGAAGACTCAGGGTGGGTAAAGCCTGAGGGAAAACACTGTACACTCCGTGGACCTCCCTGTGGAGACACTGTCCGATTGTGTCTGTTCTGGGTGCTTCAGAATGCTAAGCCTCACGTCTATCCTGGAATTTTGCTCCAAGCTACAGATGCCCCCCTTAGCCTGCCTTTTGGTTTTGTTTTTGGTTTTATTTTTGTTTTTTTGAGACAGGGACTCTCAGTATAATCCTGGGTGTTCTCACTGTGTGGATCAGGTTGACATCAGACTCAGCGAGATATGCAGCCTCTGCCTCCTGAGTGCTGGAATTAAAGAAATGTGCTAACACACCTGAAATTTTTTTTATTTTTAATTTTACTTTTTATTTTATGTGTGTGGGTGTTTTGACTGTGTGTATGTATGTCTGTGCACCACTTACATGCCTGCTGCCTACAGAGGTCAAAAGATGCCATTAGATCCCCTGGAACTGAAGGTACATCTAGTTGTGAGCTACTATGTGGGTGCTTGGAATTGAACCCAGGTTCTCTGGAAGAGCAGTTGGTCTCTTAACCACTGAGCCATCTCTCCAGTCCCTGGTCCCATGGTCTTAACACTATCTGTCACATGATAGATGAATCCTAGTCTAGGGAGCCTTCATGTCCCTTGCCTCAGCCCATCCCCATCTTGGGTTCCAAGACTTTGGGCAACCTGAGATAAATCACACCCTTCCTTTCTTCCTTCTTGTTAACCAACTGTTTAAGCACCACAGTAACTAGGAAAGACAGCAAGGGGAGGGATCTTCTAAACACTGAAGCCAGCCTAAAGACCATATCCATCTGACAACCTCATTTTAGCCACAGGAAATGTTTCTTTATTTATAATCATCACAGTTGGCAAATTATATCCCCCAACCCCCCAATATGTGTATTGAGTCAAAGGGAGAGAAAATTGGCTGTGGAATGGTCTACATTTCCCATTTCCCTTGCCTTCTTTTTTTTTTTAAAGATTTATTTATTTATATATATTTATATATAAAATGTTCTGTCTGCATGTATGCCTGCATGCCAGAAGAGGGCACCAGATCTCATTATAGATGGTTGTGAGCTGCCATGTGGTTGCTGGGAATTGAACTCAGGACCTCTGGAAGAGCAGCCAGTGCTTTGAACCTCTGAGCCATCTCTCCAGCTCCCCCTTGCCCTTTTATACCTGCTTTGAGAGGTCTAGCATTTCTAAGTCTTCTCAGGGCTCCCAGCCCTGTGCTCTCTGAGTGGAACCCAAAGTTACAGATCTGATTACAGGTGCAGGTGCTAGTGAGACAGCTGAACCTAGAGCTCTGGCCTAACTCCCCGGAAGGCTAAGATCAAGGTATAGCTCCTCTTGAACTCTGCCCCTACCCTGAGTAGGGCTTTTGTATTCTGGTGTCAATGTAAAAGTCATTGGGTGCCTGGCTCTTGATCTGTCTCAGGAGAGGGGTTGGCCTAGTTGTTGTTCCTTGAACAACAGCAGAAAGTCTTCGGGTACAACCTGCTCTTACCTGTGCAGAGCTCGCGGGGTAGTGCCGTACACGGGGTAGGGGGGGAGCAGCGTTTGGGACTCCCCCTGCTCTAGCTGTCATCCTTGCTCCCCTGAAGCTCTGAGTGCTCTCCTCCACAGAATCTGTCTCCAGAGAAAATTTTCCATGTTGTCGTGGCTCCATGCTATGATAAGAAGCTGGAAGCTCTTCGGGAAGGACTTTCCACCACTCTGAATGGTGCCAGGGGCACTGACTGTGTGCTGACATCAGGTGAGAGCCGGACTCAGAAAGTGAGCATGCCTCTGACAGGCCACTCCGGCTGGCCAAGCTGCCTGGTGGCACTGATAATTGAGTTCAGCGGCCTACAGTGAAGAGGAGGATCCTGCATCCTGCCTCCCCTCAGTCTTCTTCCGGACAAGTCAGGTCTCTGGGAGAACAACTGATAAGTTCTTACATCATAGCCATCAACATGTTTTCCTGTAGAGGCAACAAGCGCTTGTGCACACAGACATCACTGGGGAGGCCAGGAAGGTTAAACACGCAAGCATCCTTCAAAGGAAAGAGATGTTTAACTTGCCCTCCTGTAATTCTGGGAGTGAATGTAGTTTACAACCTGTCTGTCGAGCCAGGCTTTGCCCATATCACCCAGAATTTAGGTTTTACTTATTCCAGACCCTTTCCACATATATCTTGAGCATTGTTTCTGGGCCATAAATCCCATCCTTATGAATGATGTCTTTTGTACAGCCACAGTGACTTCTATGTTATTTTAGGGCCAGACCAAATCCTGACTCCCATGGGCATTATGTCTACATCAGTCATTCATTCTCCTTAGAGCCTGTCCAGGAACTCACCATGTAGACCAGGCTGGCCTCGAACTCATAGAGATCCGCCTGTCTCTTCCTCCCAAGTGCTGGGATTAAAGGCGTGGACCACCACTGCCCAGCCCCCTAGACCCTTATCTTGAGCATTGCTTCTGAGTCAACAAGAGACTATCTTAGGGACGAAGCCATATGTGTTTCTAAAGAGTGTCAATGTAAAGCTGTCTTAAGCTTTCTTATCATCACAGAGCCAACTTAATTGTTATCAGAAAACTTTTTCCCCCAAAATTGTGCTGTGCTTAAATATGGGTAAAATAAGTGAACTGGTGGTCAGACTCTCAAAGTCTTGGCCCAGCACCAATACCAGGCTGAATAGAGTTTCATCCTTGTCTCTTTGTGGATGCTTCTCTGCCTGCTGTAAAACCTGCGGAGACCTTCCACACTTTCCCACATGCAAAGAAACTAATTTACACTGAAAAAAGTAGAAGATTCCTATGTACTGTAGAGAATGTTGCTTTTAGTGGCCCTGCTGGCAGCTCTTTTCACATGTTGTGCTTTAGAGCAGTGGTTCTCAACCTGTGGGTTGCGACCCCACAGGGATTACATATCAGATATCCTGCATACCAGATATTTACAGTATGATTCATAACTGTAGAAAAATTATAGTTGTCAAGTAGCAAGGAAAGTAATTTTGTGGGTGGGGGTCACCGCAACGTGAGGAACTTTATTAAAGGGGATAGCGTTAGAAAGTTGAGAACCACTGCTTCAGATGGAGACTACGGCAGATTTAGTTGGGGATGAAAATTAACCACGGGTGTCCTGGGAACTTTTCAGAAGAAAGAAGGTCAAGAAAGCTTGTGGGAGCTTGTTAGGATCCAGGCTCATCTACTTGAATCAGACTCTGAAAGCTGATCCTTGAAGGTGTTTAGACCACGGATGACCTTGAAGATCAGGAGCTTTCTTCCTCCCTGTCCTGTCCTGGGATTCTAGCTTTGACCAAGGTGGGACAGGGAGGGTTCAATGGTGCTGGTCTGACTTCCTGAGCAGAGGTCCAGTTTCTCTCGAGAACCATATTGAGAACTCAACTTGTGCTGTGTGATAGTGATGTCTCATGGCACCTAGTGTCTTACTGATGTCTAGGGGACTCTCCCAGGGGGTTTTCTTGGGAACTTGTATATAGAAAGAAGGTGGTATACAAAGTATACTTTTCTGGTAACAAGCAGCTTTCCATGTGCAGTGTCCTGTGTCACAACCTCCAGTACAGTGTGGAGCATACACCGGCTTCACTTTGATTCAGTATGAAGCAGCTACAGCATTACCTCAGATCAGGGTTCAAAAGGGGATTCTGTTTTCACATCTCTTTAGTGCTTTTCTGATGTCAGCATTACCTTTTCCTGGCAAGGGGCTCCCGATATATGAAATGGATTATACAGCAAGGAGGGGTCCTAGCTTTCTAACGCAGAATTTTTCTAGGAGAAGCAAAGCCTGGCCCAGAGCTCTGGACCACCTGTCCTCCTTTCAGGGACTCATGCCTCTTGTTTTTCTCCAGGTGAAATTGCTCAGATAATGGAGCAAAGTGACCTCTCTGTGAAGGACACTGCTGTGGATACTTTGTAAGTGGTATCTTTGTAAATAGGGAGGGGCCTCTAGTGAACTTTGCAGACCCGGGGGCTGCCCTAATCAGATCATGTGAGTACTGAGTCAGGTTCCTGCAGTTTTACCAACCTGGCCTTGCAATGGATTCAGGCAGGAACCTGGACTGGGACACTATATTCTCTAGTACTGCCAGGGGACTTGAGGGCTTACAGTATCCTTCAGGAAGAAAGGCAAGCGTAGAAGCTATGTGGAGAAGAGGCACACATCTAACACTGTGGCTTCTTCTGGTCCCTTTGCACCAGTAACACAGCTTTTGGGTTTCTGTTTCCCATGGTGACCCTGATGCCCAGCTAGTACTTTGGCTTTTACTGCATCCTTGGGTCCCACACAGAGTACACTGCAAAGACCAATTGCACAGCTGATGGTCTGGGTGCTACATTTGTGCCCCTTTTATGGGAGGTAACACGGATGTTTGTAGAATTACGTGCTGCCAGAGCTTACTTGACAACCCAGGGTGGCTAAGGGTCCTCATTCCGGCCTGGGTACTATCAGGCACATGCTTAAGTCACCCTCAGATGTCCGTTTGCCACACCACTAGCCTGCCCTGAATGCATATGTGGCTACACAGAGAAGCAAGTGAGTGAGCCCCAGTGACACAGCCCCACTGCAGTCTTGGGTAGGTGTGAAATGACAATTCACGTTGGTCATTAGACCTCATTCAGGATATGTGCTCTGGGGGGGCTGGAGAGGACTCAGCGGGTTTAGAGTGTTTACTGCTTTTTCAGAGAATCCAGGTTTGTTTCTCAGCACCCACATGGTGGCTCCCCGAAGTTTAAATACCTGCAAAGGACTAATCTTTAACTGTTTCCCTGGATCCTGTTTCTATAAAAACTGGGTTGGTACTTGGTCTTAGTCAAGGTTTCTATTGCTGTGATGAAACACCATGACCAAAAAGCAAGTTGGGAAGAAAAGGGCTTATTTGACTTACACGTCCACATTGCAGCTCAGCACTGGAGGAAGTCAGGACAGGAACTCAAACAGTGCAGGAGCTGATGCAGAAGCTACAGAGGGGTGTTGCTCACTGGCTTGCTTCCCCTGGCTTGCTCAGCCTGCTTTCTTATTGAACCCTGGACCTCCAGCCCAGAGATAGCACCGCCCACCATGGACTGGACCCATCCCCCATTGATCACTAATTGAGAAAATGCCTTACAGCTGCATCTCATGGAGGCATTTCTTCAGCTGATGCTCTTTCCTCTCTAATGACTCTTGTGTCAAGTTGACACACAACCCTAGCCAGTACGTACTTGCTGCCTGTTCATCAGCACCAATGACGGTTTTGTCTTATCTGTTTGAGGTTTGGAGACATGAAGGAGGTGGCAGTACGGCGTCACGATGGAGTGAGCTCAGATGGGCATCTGGCCCACGTCTTCAGACATGCAGCCAGAGAGTTGTTTGGCGAGCACGTGGAGGAGATCACCTACCGTGCACTAAGGTTTGAGCCGGCACATCTCCAGCTGTGTGCCCAGGAGGGGTGCTGACAGCCAGCTAGAGCTGAGGTGTGATACATGTGGCCTATATGCAGTGTGTGTGGTGTGTCTGATGTACGTGGTATACACGGCTGCTCTACCTGTGGCTGCTCCACAGGAAAGCCAGCACTGCTTACAATAGAAGGGCCTTTTGTGTGTCTTCCCATTGAAATTATCTTGGTGACATTCAAAACTTAAATTGAAAAATGGGTAGATATGGTAAACCTCGCATTGGGGAGACTGAGGAAAAATTGTGAGTTCAAGGTTAGCCTGGTCTACATAGTAAGACTGTACTTCAAACAAACAGAATGATCTTTAGGTCAATGACCATTAAAATCCATTTTTTGAATTACAGAAACAAAGACTTCCATGAGGTCACCCTTGAGAAGAACGGGGAGGTCTTACTGCGTTTTGCTGCAGCGTATGGCTTTCGCAATATCCAGAACATGATCCTGAAGCTCAAGAAGGGCAAATTCCCTTATCACTTTGTGGAGGTCCTCGCATGTCCCAGAGGTAAGGGGTGCAGAAGGCCCATTAACAGCCTGTCCACAGTAACCGTGCAGGGCAGGTTGCTTTCTCATGTGTGGCGTGCCATCCTCAGCCATGAAGATTCCCTTCCCTCAACTGTAATGTGAGAGCTGGACATCTGTATCCTTAGACATTCCCTTGTAAGCGCCATATGGGAGCCCCACGGTACCAATGGAAACCAGCATCCAAGGTTGCTAATGTGGAGCTGGTACGTAGGACCCACTGGTAGGAGCTGACCGTGTGCAAAGCAGCAGCAGGAAAAGACAGATGCTGCTTTCGCTCTAAGAGTTCCCCTTGCTGCAAAGGAAAATTAACCAACCAGGTGTAAAGACCCCGGGCAGCTGAAGAAAGTTCCCGTCTAGGTGGAGAGACAATGAGAGCAGGCCAGAGCTGGGAGAGGATGTAGTGCCTAGAATCTCTCGCTGATAGAGGTGTAGGTACTGGAGAATGAGTGGAGCCTCTGATCTTAAGTAGTCTCTCTACGCCCCTGGGTGTGACGGAGCAGTCTCAAGACCAGGAGTGTCTAGGTCGTCCTGAGTTTGGGGTGATGAAAGGTACTCAAGTAGGAACATCAGAGTTCTCAGAAAGGCCCAGGGGAGCTAGGCAAGGTGTATTGTCAGAGACGAGAAAGGGTTCATTTTTTATTTATTTATTTATTAAAAATTTCCTCCTCCTCCCCACCTTCCTTTTCCTTCCCCCTTCCCACTTCCCCCTCCCTTTTTAGTCCTAAGAGCAGTCAGGGTTCCCTGCCCCGTGGGAAGTCCAAGGTCCTCCCCACTCCATCCAGGTCTATAAAGGTGAGCATCCAAACAAACCAGGCTCCCACAAAGTCTGTCCATGCAGTAGAATCAAAACCCAGTGCCATTGTCCTTGGCTTCTCAGTCAGCCTTCATTGCCAGCCACATTCAGAGTGTCCAGTTTGACCACATGCTCCATCACTCCCAGTCCAGCTGGCCTTGGTGAGCTCCCATTAGATCAGTCCCACCATCTCAGTGGGTGGATGCACTTCTCGTGGTCCTGACTTCCTTACTCATGTTCTTTCTCCTGCTCCTCATTTGGACCTTGGGAGCTAAGTCCAGTGCTCCAATGTGGGTCTCTGTTTATATCTCCATCCATCACCAGATGAAGGTTCTATGGTGATATGCAAGATATTCATCAGTGTGGCTATGGGACAAGGCCAGTTCAGGCACCCTTTCCTCTGCTCCCCAAGGAACAATCTGGGGACCTATCCTGGAAAGGGTTCATAAGGAGTGAGATAAAGGAGAGGCCTATATATTTCTAGTCCATCATGTCCTAAGGGATCTTCCAGAGGAGGGAAGCTGCTAGTGGCTAGCATCTAAGAGGGGATGAGAGCAGGGAGCATATACTTTTCCTGGGGTGCCAGCAAGTGGATGCTGTGTTGTACCCCTGTGCTACAGTAGAAACAAGATGGCTAGGGGATGGAGCCTCTGGGAGGGCCCCTCTTGCTTTCTGGGGGAAACAGCATAGGCCTGTGAAGGAGACAAAGTGGGTGCAGCCTGTGAAAAAGTGGACATCAAAGTCCAGCTGCCAAGTGGCCGATCAGTGGAATTTGTTCCTTCTTTTCCTTTTCCCCCAGTGCTGGAGTCTGAACCCAGGTATTGTACATGTATATGGTAAGCAAGGGCTTCCTTATAGCCTTCCACTGAGCTATATATCCCCAGCCTATCTTCTGGCTTGTTTAAATAAAAGCTTGATGCTGGGAGTGGAAGCTAGGAACTTGAGCCTTCTAGACACACACTCTGCCACCAAGATATTCCTATCCCCATGTCTTTAATACATTTTGGGGCGTGTGTGAGTATGTGTGTGTCTGTGTGTGTATGATCTGCAGTTCTAAGAGTGGGTGGTACTGACAATAGGAGACACACACTGATTTACACTATATGGCTGGGATGCTCATGGAGAACTCATAGCTCGCTCAGCCCCAAGGCAGCCTTGTGGGGCCTGCACACTGACAGCACTGTGTGCAAGCAGTTGTGCTCATAGCTTTTTAGCCATTCTATGCTCTTCGGGTAATTTTCAGAAGCCAGGAATCCAGACAGCAGAAAGCTGCCACTTCTAAAGGCTTTTAGGTAAAACCTGTTTATAGGTAATGTATATGGTAAGACTAAAGAATACCCAGGACTCTCTTCCTGGGCATGCTCCATGATAACCTCAGAGAATGCTGCGAGCCCCAGAAACACGCTCAAGTCACATGGTACTGCCTGTTTCATGCTTCTGCTTCCAACTGTGCCCCTTGATGTGAAGCTCCATTGTAACCAGCTGTCCCACAGGGAAGACGAGGTCCACCTCTGTGTATCTTTCAGGATGCTTAAATGGCAGAGGCCAAGCCCAGACAGAGGACGGCCACACAGACCGTGAACTGCTGCAGCAAATGGAAGGAATCTACTCCGGCATCCCTGTGCGGCCCCCAGAGAGCAGTGCACATGTGCAGGAGTTGTACCAGGAGTGGCTGGAGGGTACCGAGTCCCCCAAAGTCCAGGAGGTGCTGCACACCACATACCAGAGCTTGGAGCCCCGCACAGACAGCTTGGATATCAAGTGGTGACAGAGCCGGGAGGGCAGGAGGGGGCAGCACTGAGTGGAGAGCAGTGGATGTTTCACGAACAACGGATCACTCCGCAGCGTGCAGCTTCACGTGGTGCTACCTTTGTAGTGTGTGAGGGAGTGGAATATTTTCACATGGAAAAAGCATTTTTCCTCTCTGAGTATCCTTTTAGCCCAAGATTGTGAGAAAGACCCCAAAGATGAGGCCAGGGACACACCCCTGTCTTTCAGGGGTTTTGTTTGTTTGTTTGTTTTGTTTTGTTTTTTAAAGAATCCAAAATGTATTCATTTTTTTGTTTGTTTTTGTTTTTCAAGAAAGGATTTCTCTGTGTTGCTCTGGCTGTCCTAAGACTTACTCTGTAGACCAAGCTGGCCTCAAACTCACAGAGATCTACCCGCCTCTGCCTCTCAAGTGTTAGGATTAAAGGCGGCTCCAAGTGCTAGGATTAAAGGTCTGTTCCACCACCACCCAGCTCAAAATGTGTTCTTAAAGACTTAAGCCCCTGGAGTTGTGATCCATGAACTTCAGAGTATTGCTGCCGAAATGGAAGGGCCAGGCTGCTCTATGGTGGATAACTATGGTTTCTACACAGGCCCAGTCGTCCTACCCAGGTTGGCTCTTTTACTTGTACACATTTTTGAAAATAATTTTGAATTCTAGGGCCAGCAAGATGGCTTATTGGTAACAACCTTAGTTTGACAATCTTAGTTTGATCCCTGGACCCCATGTGGTGGAAGGAGAGACCACCTACCGTAAGTTATCCTCTGACTTCCACAGGCACCGTGCCTGTCAGCACCAGCTTTGAGGTAGATTCACTTCATAGCAGGGGAAAGGCTGATGAGAACGACAGATATCCGCTGAGTGGAACACTTGTTTAACATATATGAGGACCTGATTTGAGTTATTTTAAAATAAATGAGTAGAGAATTAAGAGGGTAGCCTACTTAAACTTTGGGGTTCTAAGGGAGGTCCAGCTCATCGATTACCCTCATGGGGCAGGAAGATGGAGCTGAGGCTCCATGGACCCTTGAACGGGTCAAACAGCGTTCTAATGTCTAGCATCTTCCAAACTCTCCCCCAGAGCCCTTTGGCATAAACAGGACTTTTTATGTAGGTTCTCATACACAAGGGCCTGGCTTTGTGGGGCTCAGGTCCACAAAGCCCCACTGTTCTGTGGCACCATCCCTTTAGCCCTCACTACTGCCGATAGAAAGGGGAAACAGTGTATCCACACGGAGAAGTAGCAGCCCAGTGGCTACTTCTGCACAATCACTTGACACGTGCTAGAGTTCATCCAGGAGGTAATGCCTGAAGAAACCCACGGGCAGTTGGGATTTTGCTCATGTATGTGGTTGCCTTGACTCCTCAGTGCTGTCGGCTTTGGTTTGGTTTGTGACTCCTGTGAGCCTGTCTAGGAACATAACTGAGTATGTTGTAAACAATAGTTCTCAACTTGTGGCTCTCAACTCCCCAACAGGGGTTGCATATCAGATATCCTGCATATCATATATGTGTATTATGATTCATAACTGTAGCAATATTACAGTTATGAATTAGCTGTGGAAATAATTTTATGGTTGGGCATCAGGACAACGTGAGGAACTGTATTAAAGGGTTGCAGCCTTAGGAATGTTGAGAATCACTGTTGTAAATTATAATCTTTTGCCTTCAGTCTATATGCCTTGGTGTCTATCCCCCAAAGTAACTGATTATGGAATAAACAGTGCAGCAGGGTCTGAGTATAGCGTTGAAGGGCCCAGAAGCTGTCGCACCTATCCTGGACTACAGCCTGCAATATGCCCCAGCCTGAGTGATGTTACCTTGTTCCTGAGTCACTTCCTGATAGGCCAGGAGGATGCCCAGCCAGCTCAGAGCACTGAACGTCAATGTGGGAAGGGATTGACTTCCTGAAAACCTCATGGTGCTATCCGTGACAGCAGCTGAGGCTAGGTCTAAGATACGAGATGTGTGGCTTCTGTTTTGCTGATGTTAGGTTGTGGCCCTGTGAGCTTTTCAAAACCGCAAATGCCTTTCCGTTCCTCCATCATAATGGAAGCATGAGCAGGCTGGTGGCGCACATGCCTGTAACCCCAGCACTTGAAAGGCAAAGGCAGGTGAATCTCAAGTTCAAGGCCAGTCTGGTCTAAAGAGCAAGTTCCAGGACAGCCAGGGCTACACAGAGAAACCCTGTCTTGAAAAAAAACCCAAAACAAAAGCACAAATAGTTTAAGCACAAAGTGAGACAAGACCTGGTCAAAGCAGCATGACAACTGTAGTCAGAGTAGACAGTGTCTTCTGGTGAGTGACTGGTTCCAGCATGAGGAGACAACGTAATCCCAGTTCATATCCCTCAGTATCCTGTCTTATGGTGCCTATGATCTAGCATGGCAGAGGACCCATTTCTTAGTTTGTTTCCTACCTGGCCTTAGCTGTATTGGTTTACCACTGTGGATAACCATGCTTATGCTTGATGAAATTCTGTCACAAAGACAACAAATTTGGTTTCTATTACAGGTAATTTAGAAATGGTTCTATCAGGGTGGGAGTCATGGTTCAGGAGCAGACTGTGTGTCTATCATACCAGGCACTGGGTTCATCCTCTGAAACCACAAAAGCAGAAAGTTGGTGGGGAAAGATTCACTACATTCTTTCTGGTAATGTATACGTGGGATTGCTGTAAGATTTGACCCAGCCTGTGTGCCCTACTCATCACTGGTTGACATTTGGGCTTGCCAGGTGCATCACAAGTGAGCCAGCTACACGAGTTGCAGTCACAGCTGGCAGCTAAGCTGCAGGTACTGCCTTGGGTGCAGCACTCATCTGAGGGGCACAGCTGGCTGGAAGGGTAATGCAGGAATATGGCTTTTCTCCCGCTTGGCATACTACATGTGGGTTCCATTCTGCAGCTACAGATGGGAAATTACTTGAAGAATTTACTTTGGCTTGGTACAGTCCATTATGGCAGAGAAGACGCCTCATACCTCACCTTCTGTGAAGCACAGTATTTCCTGTGGCTGTGTCTCCTTGTAAATACTAAGTTGAGATGGATGTAAACCGAGTAGTGTGTGTGCGTGTCTGTGTGTCTGTATGTCTGTGTGTCTGTCTGTCTAGTGCTGGGAATGGAATGCAGGTATGTCATGTGCTAGGCACAAACTACCACTAGGCTACATCTCTCTCTCTCTCTCTCTCACACACACACACATACACATACACACACACACCCTTTCTCTTACTCTTTTTATCTTTTTATTTTGAGACAAGTTCTCACTAAGTCACCCAAGCTGGCTTTGAACTCACTCTGTAGCCTTGTAGCCTTGCTGGCCTTGAAGTTTCCAATTTGATCATCCTACCTTTACTTCCCAAGTGCTAGGATTATAGATGCAAGCTACCATAACCTGTTCATATTTATTTATTTATTTATTTATCGTTTTTCAAGACAGGGTTTCTCTGTGTAACAGCCTTGGCTGGCCTCAAACTCACAGGTATCTGCCTACCTCTGCCTCCTGTGTACTAGGATGGATTGAAGCCTGCACCACCACCACCCAGCTCATACCCTGTTTATACAGTGGAGGAACTGAATCCAGAATTTGGGGATATACTAGGCAGGCTTTCTGATAACTGAACTATGTCCCCAGTTCTGTTTCTTCTCCTTATCCCTTTCTTGTCCTCCCCTCTGTCCTTTTCTTTCTTCTTCCTTTCCCTTTCCACTCTTCCTTTTACCCCACACCCTGATATCTAATGCTGGCCTTGAACTCTGGCTCAAGGGATCCACTCAGCCAACCAAGTAGATGTGACTACAGACTTACATCACTGCTGGAGATGTTTTAATAGAGAAAGTCTCAGAATCATACTTTTTCAGCCAAATATGGGGCATACACCTTTGATCACAGTACTTATAAGATTTATTTGTTTTTATTCTACGTGCATTGGTGTTTTGCCTGCATATATGTCTGTGTGAGGATGTCGGATCCCCTGGAATTGGAGTTACAGACAGTTGCGAGCTGCCGTGTGGGTGCTGGGAATTGAACCTGGGTCCTCTGGAGGAATGGCAAGTGCTCTTAACTGCTGAGCCACCTCTCCAGCTCCCCTTTTGTGTTTTTGAGACAGGTATATACTTCCATGTCCAGGCAGCCACATTCACATCTCCTCTCCCACCCACTTTCCCTGTCCCTCTCATTGTCTTTCCCTTTGTAGCCAACTTCCTCCATTCTGTTTTGTTTTGAGATACATTTAGGGAAGGCTTGCTTTGAACTCCTGATTCTCTTGCCTCCATCTCCCAAATGCTGATGTTACAGGTATGAGCCATCGCCCAGTGAGATTCTCTTTCAAATCCTGACAGTAAATTTGGGGATGGGGGTAGCTGGAGAGATTGCTCAGCAGTTAAGTATGCTTGCTACTTTTCTAGAGGACCCAAGTTTGGTTCCCAGGATCCACATCAGGTGACTTAACCACTTTTAACTATGGCTCCAGGGAAACTGATACCTCCTTCTGCAAGTAACCACATGTACCTGGCACACACACAAAAATCTTAAACCAGCACTGGAGGCAGAGGCAGGTGAATCTTTGTGGTTCAAGGCCAGCCTGATCCATGTAGCAATTTCCGGGTCTGCCAGGGCTACACAATGGGATGATCTCAAAAGACAACAACAACAAAAAGATAAAAACAACAACAACAACAACAACAAAACAACCAAGCAACAACAAAAACCAAACCAGGCAGTGGCAGTGCATTACTTTAATCTCAGCACTCAGGAGGCAGAGGCAGATAAAACTCTCAGTTTGAGGTCAGCCTGGTCTACAGTGCGAGTTCCAGGACAGACTCCAAAGTTACAGAGAAACCCTGTCTCCAAAACAAAACAAAACACCAAAAAACAAAAAAACCCAAAACAAAAAGGAAGGCAAAACCCAGAATATTTTTTAAAATTCAATCTGGGATGTATATTATTTAGACCAGATATTTTCCTTGCCTAGATTCACAAAGCCCTAGGCCCATCCTGAGTACCACGTCAGCAGGCACGATAGGCAAGCACCTTTTATCCCAGCATTTGGGAGGTGGCACTAGAGTGAGAAGTTCAAGATCATCCCCCAAACATTCAGTGTTTTAGGCCAGCCTGGAGTACATGATACCTTATTTCAAAAAAAAAAAAAAATAGATTGAAAGGAAGAGAAGAAAGAAGCAAACCATCTCCCATAGTGTCTCACCAATTTTCTTCCCAGTCGCTTCGCATCATTGCCAGGTCTTTATATGTCAATTTTAGCCCCTCCCACAGGTGTCAGGATTTTGGGGGTTTGTTTGTTTGTTTGGTCTTGTTTTTCGAGACAGGGTTTCCCTGTGTAGCTTTGGAGCGAGTCCTAGAACTTGCTCTGTAGATCAGGTTGGCCTTGAACTCACAGATAATCTGCCTGCCTCTGCCTCCCAAATGCTGGGGTTTAAGTCGTATATCAACACCACCCAGCAGGACTTTTGTTTTACATTTATTTTTGGAGAAAGTATTTCCAACTATTGAGGTGATGCTAAACATACTTCTGCCATTTTGTAGCTCTGTATTTATATAAAGGAGTATTCTTAGCAGTGATAATCATAAAATCAAAATTTGCTGGAGTATGCATTAAATTTCAGTACCTGGGATGCAGAGAAAGGTGACTATGAGTTCCAAGCCTGTCAGGGCTACATAGTGGCACCCTGCATACGGATCAAACTGAAAATCATCAAAGATGCTCTATGTCTTGCAGGATCAAACATTCAGTATATGGATCAACTGAAAATCATCAAAGATGCTCTATGTCCTGCAGGATCAAATACTCAGCTGGGTGGGGGTGGGGCATAGGAAGAAGTATATGCAGGTGGATCCTGGGGACTCACTGGTCAGCCAGGCTTGCCCAAAAGGTGAACTCCAGGTTCATTGAGAGACCTTGTCTCAGAAAAAGACAAGGGATAAAAGACATTGAGGAAGACATCCTGACATCAATCCCTGGTGCCCACACATCCTACGAGTGAGAAGCATTCACTTTTATATAACACATATATATAACAAGACAAGCACATGAACCCTATTAGTATGCAAATTTGCTTTATGGTAATAAAAGGTAAACATGTACGTTGAATAATTGCTCTAAAATAAATATCTTTATGATTTATTATAAGTGTTTGATTTGTTCAGATATGGTGTGAAACGTGCCTTTAATTCTGACACTTGGGAAGCAGAGGTGGGTGGATCTCTATGAGTTCTAGGTGATCCTGACCTACATAGTAAGTTCCAGGCCAATCAGAGCTATAGAACTTCCCCCACAAAAAAATACCAAAATCAACCACAAAAGCCAAACAAAGCAACATAACTGTTTGTATGTTCATTTTATATACCTGTAATAGCCAGGGTTGTGTAAGAAGTTATTGGACAAAATTGGTGGAGAGTGGAAAAAGATTTAGCCCTGTTATAGGTAGATGCATGAAGTCTCAAAACAACCCAGGGCTCGAACATATATAAAGCAGAAGCTCAGTCGGTGCCAGTGATGGCGAAACACTTCACTCTTCACTATGCGTTGGCCTTTGACTGTGTTTTGTCTCTAGACGTTTACCTAGTTATTTCCATGGCTATCTCTACATCATCTACAGTCCCTCAAATAAATGTTTAATGAAATGTCTTTCTTCCATATTTATAGTACAAAGCAGTCAACC